ATAGAAACGTTAAAGCTAAACCGATTTTTTGTTGTATAGAAAAGCAAGGAGCCATTTTTAAAAGTAACTACCTTACGTCTTTTCTCTTTAAATACCAGAGACAACTGACAAGTTGAGTCAACCACCCGACCGTGTAGAACGAATAAAAATCGATTGACCCGACCAAGGTCACGACGGTTGGTGGTTGGTCCCGACCGTGTAGAAGGCGCTTTAAATGAATTGTTGCGTTACTTACCATAAATTGAAATATAACACATTTTTCGCGATGTACCGTAAGAGATTGCAGGTCGATTCCAGTCCAAAAAGCCAAACCAAAAGTCGATAGTATGTACGAGAGCCACGTAAGTTGAATTGGGAACGGTGCGCAGTAAACAAAGGAGCAGAGCGTACTGAACTGACTTGCTGAGAATAATAACAGCTTCTCTACCGTGCCCTATTGTTGTCTCTTTTTAACGTAAATATCTCTATCTATCTATCTCTCTCTAACATCTAAGGTATGTATGCCCCATTAAAATTCCTAGAAATTGTAACAAGAACCCATTTTGGGCATGTAGTAAAAGTGATTACTGACAATTACAATTTAAGGAATTTGGCCCCTGTTAAGAAATAATAGACCCATATTTTTTTTATAACTTGTTTTCCTAGAGTATTATACCATTTTGGAATGTTGGTTAGTTGCGTCAATTTTTAAAAAAAGCTTGCCATACTAGTGTTCATAGTTTTTTTTACACCACGATAAGTTAAATTTGGTTAAAAGTAAAAGTCTTCAAAAAATTTAGGGAATAAAAAAGTTTCATTAATTTTCGTGATAAAACAAGAGTTATTCTGGATTTTTTAAGAATTGTGGTAGATAGCAGTGCTACTCAGGTTGCCTATAAAAAAAAAAGAAACAAATATTAAAAAACTGTGGTCATGGTAGTGAAAAATATCATAAACGGTCGCAATTTCTGAAGAAATTCATTTTTTTTTTTATATAACTTAAAATATAATTGGGATATATTTTTTTTCTTTTTTTCCCCGTTTAGTCCGGGGCAGGTCTATCCTCCGGTGTTGGCTTATCGTTGAATTTTGGGACACGTTGTATTGTATTGTATGTATGGTATATATATATATATATATATATATATATATATATATATATATATATATATATATATATATATATATATATAATTGTAACAAAATAATGCAGACATGCTGAATTAAATATTAAGTTTTTACTCTACGAAATTGCTGTTTTGCTAATTTTAACTATATTAGGTTTGACTTGGAATTTTAAATTCAAGGGAATTTTATATTTATGACATGTTTATTCATTTGAAAAAAAAAAGTTATTAATTTGTTTCATTGCTTTGTTATTTCTCTTATAATGTTTTACTTTTAATTAATTTGTAATAAAAGGTTATAAGATTTTTATTTTATTCCTCTTACTGAATTTTTATGGCAATCAGTAATATGAAGCAACAACAGATTAACTGCACTGTGGTTGTGGCAATAGCGTCATGCAGAGTTTGAATATATATACACTTATATATAACCCACGACCTTTGACCTTTTTTTCATCTTCCACCGAAACGCGTAAGTGGTTAGACGTGTCACACTACTAACGTTAAAATTCATTACTTAAAGTGCTAAATTAATATTGAGAATTCGAGCCAGTTACCAGGCGAACAGAAAATAAGGAGTGTTTAACAAAAGTGCTAACAAGTGACAAACATAAGTTGATACATACACAAAGCTAGCTTACTTGTGAGGAGGGATCAAGATAAAGTGGTAAATAGTCTATTCATTTACTGTTGTAACCACACAAACTTTAAACTTAAGTAACTTTGATATAAAATGTCTAAACTTATAAGATCACCCCCTGGCCGTAGCATGCAACATACATTATCGGATTCTGATGTTTCCAATATAGTTCCGACTCCTGCTACACCGTCTTACATTACTAAACGTAACAAAAGACAACGCGAGTCAGGCGATGAACAATTATCTTCCTTTAAAGATAAAATTCGAAACATGTTGGATGAATGGAAAAATACACAAAACTCGCTCATAAACAAACTAGTCTCAGATATTGCAGAAATAAAACAGCAAAACATACAAATTCAGCGCTCAAATGAAGAAATTGAAAAGAAAATATAGTGTCAATAAAAAAAAATATTATTATTATTATTATGGGGTATCTATATAGTTTTCTCATCTGGTTGGGTTCTATAAATATATAATTATAAATGAAAATGAAAAGATAAATATACATAAATATCAATAATTATTATTATTACCTTTTTGAGTTCGCGGTCCGCTCTGCCATTAGGCTACTGTCGCTTCAGTCCATGATATATAGTTCGTGCCAAATCGATTGAGAAAAACGGACATTGACCTTTTGGTCGTTTAACCAGAGGCTACAAAACCTTCAATATATAGGCACTTTTTATATGTAGTACTTTCTTTATTTATAATGATTTTTTTATAATGATTGATATAATATATATTTATTAACTATTATTAAGAAGTTATGTAAAAGATCACTGTAGAAGATAAATCATCTATTATTATAAAGTACTTTATTCATTCAACAACAAAAAGCATTAATTTATAACACATATAAAGATTCGAGTGATAACGACACCGAATAAGTAAGTACTTATTCAAAAGATAAAACTTTATTTTCAATATTATATAAGAACTTTATTTTTATTCGGTGCATGCGGACCGGCCCAAAAAAAGTGACGCATCTCTGGCTGCCATTGTCACGTTTCTTTTAGAACGAACTGACGTACCGCGCGTTTTGTTTATTTTAAAGGGATGAATTTGCAAGAGCTCAATATGGTGATTATATTGCTTCAAATATTTTTTTTAATATGAAACTGTTATTAAATGAATTGCTACGTTACTTACCATAAATTGAAATATAAAATATAACACATTTTTCGCGATGTACCGTAAGATTTTACGATATTTATAGGAACCACAGACAATCTTATTTAAAAAACAAAACATATGTGCTGACCTAGAAGTGTAATAATATCAATATTTAAATATTGTTATCACATCTAAATTGAGATTTTGTTTTTTGACACTCAGCTCATATCTGAGGTCATCGTCCGTTTTTCTCAATTGATTTGGCACAAACGTTAACAAACACAGATAATAATATACTCAAATATGTTGGGTTTTTTTTGCTTTGTAGTTTTTGTATCGTTTATTATGTTTTATGTGAGAAATAAATCATTTATTCATTCAATATCGCTTTATTTATAACCATAGTAAAAAAATCGTAATATTTTTAAAAGCGTTTCAATGAAGAAACAATGCATCTCAAATGGCACGTAATATTATTGATGTGTACGGACCTATCACCATCCTCCAAAGATCTAGCACTTCAATCCCCCTTTTTTAGTAAATTTTGATCTCACAAATGAACCAGAGATGAGGTTAGATAATGACAGTCTACGGTGATCGTGGAATACACTTCGGTTGAGCTAGCATCGACTTTTGATGTGTCAAAAAATACTAGATAATTTACCTCAAATCACTAAAATGAAGAAGCTTGACAAATGGGTAACTCACAAAATTAGTGACATATAGCAGGAAGCAACATCTAAGTTCGCTTCCTATTGCTTAATCGGCATAGAAAGCAGAGAATTTTTTATCAAATTGTTAGTTGTAATGAAAAGTGGATCTAGTACAACAATCGTGTGAAGCTCAGTAGGGCTGTGGTAGCTCAGATGATTAACGCTTGCTGTAAATTTCACAGTATGGGAGCAATCCTGGTTCAATCTCCGCCAATTTTAAGTGCTGATTTACCATATGCTCAGAGGTGAAGGAAAACATTGTGAGGAAATCTGAATGTCTGAGCAATAAGAAAGAAATATTTTGAAGACATGTGAATCACCAACACATATTGCAGCAGCGCAGCGGAGATTTCCTACCGTAAAACCATCTCAGAAATGAGAAGTGGCCTGTGCCCAGTGAGACGTATATAGGCTGTAACTTTAAAACTAACTTTTAGATTCTGAGACTAAAATTTCAATCCTGAGGAATGATTAAAGAATGCCTATATAGGATTGGTCTACTATTGCGCAGCAGGTTTTTATAACAAGGGCATCAATGGACCACAAAATGGCAAGATTGTTAATAGTTTAGACGAATAATTAAATTGTTTAAACCATTTTAAATAACAGAAAACAACAATGAAATGGTAATTTCATATGTATAAATCTGATATTCTAAACTAAATAAATCCCATTAAGTATCAGCAAATTCACTGTATATTTAAACTATTACTTGAACTATGCAACAATGGTAACAAAAATTTGCAACTATGTATATTTTTAGCCGACTTCAAAAAGGAAGAGGTACTCAATTCAACTGTATGTTTTTTTATGTTACCTCAGAACTATTTTCTATGTGAACCGATTTTGATGATTCTTTTTTTTATTTGATATCTGATGTTTCTCGTGAGGTCCCATATAAATTTGATCAAGATCTGACCATTAGTTTTTGAATTAACTTAGAATACAATAATGATGTTTGTACAAATTTTTTATTTCACCACTCATTCAATGTGTTAAGCATTCAAGTTGCTGACGTCAATATAAGAACCATTATATCTTTCTAGTTGGCACAACCATGTTTGGGAAGTCATTTAATATAATATATTAAATTTGGTAGCCTAATAGTCTTCGAATCAATTCAAAGCTCTCATTGAATATTATGTTTTTCTCAATATTTCATATAGGTAACTACAAAATTTTAGCTTTTTCAATCCTTATTATGTAACATAACGCTAAATATTAAACATGTATATAGGTATACATAATAAAATATAATATATTCCACTAGTTTAAAAAATACAGAGATGAGGGTAATAACAAAAACGTTATAAAACCCAAATCAAAATCGACTTTAAAAAATATAAATTTAATGTTTTTCCGATATTTCGTTTACCTTATTTCATAATAAGAATAATTCCAAAATTAAAAATAGAATTCACTTACATTGTTTACCAAACGTCGGGACGCACACAGCCAGTAGGGTAGCGAGCACAAAAATTACAGCCTTCATTTTCTACAGATAAATCACAGATACTTTGACAAAGAAAACAAAATGATAAAGCAGGCACCGTCTGCTACGATTACTTGTGAGAGTCTAGCCTTTACACTCACTGGTGCAGAAGGCGACTTCTCTTAGCACTATAAAATGGAAAACAAGGGCTATTCGCGCAATTGTCTCAGATTAAACGAAAAATATTCGACTACGCAGCGATAACAAAAGCGAGTAGTGTTGACAAGGCGCTCGAAATAATGACATACGAATATGATTACGACGCGCAAGCGAGATAGATGACGAATCGATGTACCTACAAGGTTTTGTGTTCCGAGTCTGTGGAATATTTTTGTTCTTGTATAGCTTATTTGTTAACTCTACGCCTTTGAATAACTATATACCTGCTGTGATAAGGATGTTGTATGTACGTAAAGCTATCAAATCATGAACAATCAATAAACACTGACTTTATAATGAAATATGACGAAATCATTTGGAACACAAAACCTTGACTTTTTATAAATGAGCATGACAGGCATATAGAATTGTGTTAGTGTAAGTGAGGGGGTAGGTGGGAGGAGGGGAAAGCGGGACTGGGTTAAAGGGATTCCATTATTAGTACTTTCCACATATTAAAGGAGAAATATCGTGAAGCCATTTTAAAAATTCAAAGTGACTTATTGAATTTGAGATAGGCTTACATATTTATTTTTGCTTTACATTTAAATTAAGTACAATTAACATATTTTTCTTAAGACATTTGAGTAGAATTTACAACATATAAGGAAATTATAAAGCATAATTGGTCACCCTAGTTGCATCACAGGCATCTCATAAGTCATAACGTGACGTTATCAAAATAACAATCCAAATACAACTACTTTAGCTTCGTAATCGAGAACATTGACAGTCATACAATAAGCGGAAAATATAGTGATAATTTTGTTTTGTCTCGTGTGACACGGGAGATTTTGTTGGTTTCATAGATCAGTCAATTATTTTTGTTGAGAGTCGCCTTCTGCGCCAGTGTGTGTAAAGGCTGCACTTTCGACGGAACATTTTTACGTATATCCGACATTCAAAGTTAATTCTGGTGAGTTAACTTTATTTTAAATTTAGAACAATAAATTCCTTTGTGCTATTGAAATTGAAACGTATTTGACAATTTACATGAGGGTACCTAAGTATTTTTGATTTTTAATTTCTGAACATCTTCGCTGTGTTACTTTGTTCTAGTCATTACACCTGTTTGAATAGTTTTTAATGTTTATATCTTTTGTTCTAGAAGAAAATATTTAATTTTTAGTTTCTCATCCAATTCATGAATTTATTTGTTAATTATTATTGTGTTGTGTAAGCTTTAATCTATCTATAAATATTCAGTCTTGGAATCGAATTTTATTCTTTTGTACAAACATAATTGATTTATCAAAAACGGCTCTAACAATTTGTTGAAATTATTTTAAGTAATGTTTTCTTTTCAAGTCCAAATTTATCTTGATAATTTTCTTCTTTCAAAAAGTAAAATAAAATTTATTTTGTAACGCCAAGCAAAGCATAATCTCCAAGGTACTTATGATATGATACATAGTATAGAATCTATACTCTCTAACATTATAAATATCCATAAGTCATAAATATTATGTTTTTACAAAAAGTCTGGTATTTCTTTAGTAATCTGTCGCACGAATTTATGGTCGCCGGGTGGGCGGGTAGATGACGGGGAGGGGTAGAAACCTCCCCCTAAAAGGGCTAAGTGCCGGAACCCCCCCCCTTTTTATGAATTTTTTTAGTAATCTTCCGCATGAATATAGGAGGGGTAGGCTGGGGTAGGAACCTCCCCTAAAGGGAAGTGCGGAAACCCCCCTGTTTTTGTAAAATCATAACCTCACTTTAGGAATAGATATTGCTTCGGCACTGCGGGAAGTGAGCCCCTTTGCCCTTGCGTAGCAAAACAGGCACCCATGGCCTAGCTGGGACCAGCCTCAACCGCTACGGCTCGCTTAGGTGCCTGCGATTTGCTACAGCGGATGGGGGCTGCTCTCCCTACGTGCCTACGGCTTTACAAAAACACTAGGGGTAGGGCAGACAAGACTATGTCGAGTCGGGGTGTGCTAATTCGGTTTTAGAATCGATTTGACCAATTTTATCTATAAAGTCTAGGCATAAAAAGCAGCTAGATGGTATTCAATAGCATCATTGCCTGTCAACTAAAGCTAAAATAATCACTTAAACCGTGCAGCAGATTACTAAAGCTGACCCAAAAGTCTTATATAGTAATGATAATCCAAAATTGTTAAACTTTAATTTACTTTTGGCTACTTTTTATATTTTGAGATAAATGCATATTCATATTTGTGCTCAAAACTGAAATTATTTAGGACATTATACACAGAAACTATATTAACTGATATATTTTTATCAAAAATATTTCTGTGAATCCTAGGCACAAGCTAATACCGGCTTATTAACTCCAAAAAGTCAGCAATTCCTTTGTGACACTTTTAGAAAAAGTCACAGAAATAAGTATGCAGTTTCATCAAAAATTATAAAAATTACATTAAACAAAGGATGTATTAAAAGATGCCCACAGAACATTGAAGTTGAATATGCTATTACATTACTGTCTTTTTTTTATATAGCATTGGGTGACAAACAAGCACACAGTCCACCTGATGGTGAGTGGATGCTGTGGCCTATAGACATCCGCATGTATCCTCAATTAAGAATCAAAATGGAAATATATCTTCAACGCTGACGACTAAGATGAAAGGCCTCAATTCCAGTAAAACGGGTCTCCAGTTCTCTACACTCACCATACGAAACACAGCAGCATTACGCCGCTATTTTACGCTGGTATTCTATGAGAATGTGGTCTTGCCCCGGTCGAGCCGACCCATACATGCTACAACTATAATATAGCTGTAGTGTGGCTTTACCCCATAAAATGTGTCTAATATAATAAAAAATAATAATAAAATAAGTAAATAAATAATAAAAGTAAAAATATGTATTATAATCCAAAATACCGTTAACAACATTAATTCATGGTTATTTTTATATTAAGTTTTTATATGGTAGAGCCACGCTGCGGCTTTATTGCGGTTGTAGCACAAATGCGTCGGTTTGACAGGGAAAGGATCAAACCCTTACAGAATTCTAGTTTAAAATAGTTCAATGCAACTGTATTTTGTATGACGAGTGTAAAGAATTGACGACCCTTTTTACTGCAAACGAGGCATTCTGTTATAGTACTCGGAGATAACAACACACTTGCATTTCAGTTCGTAATTGCGGGTAGATGTAGATGTCAATGGGCTACACCTACAGCATCATCAGTGGACTATGTCATTTGTTACTGTCATTCTATAAAAAAAATTGTAGTTCTTATTTCATAGTGTAAAGCAGCTGGTACAGTTTTGGTTAGTTTTTAATCCAGTATTTTATGAATTTCTTCCTGTCTAAAATGAAAGTGTAGTGTTTTTGCATGTAATAGACTCGTTATTTTATTTCATGCAGTATTCTTGTCATAACTGAAACTTCAAAAGTAACAAAAAAATCATGGTAATTGCTATTTTGATTTGGTTTCTAAAGATCCGGACTCTACACTAAAGAGACTAATTACACACACAGGGCATTACTCATAATCATTCATTATTGCTTATCTAAATTAATTTTTTATTATCTCTATAACTGTCTCTTTCTATTGTCATTTAGTGAAAAGAGGGAGAGTAACTTTTAGCAAGCAAGCAAAAAGCAAATGCTTAAATTTTCTTAATAATTTGAATTTTAAATTGCCTTCATGATATTTATTTTCTATATAAATATGGGTAAGCTACTGATAAAGTAATACCTTGGGTAGTCCTACCCATTCCTTCCACCCCCACACTATAACTAACACACGTTTCTTAGATAAACATTGATTTTTAAGAGCAAGACCAAGAAAGACAATTTAGGTAGTTCATAATTTTTGATTTTTATTAATTAATAAGTTTGTTAATTATATTTTAGTATTGTACATTCTATAGTTTTTTCTTGTTGTAAAACCAGAATTAAGTTATCTTAAACTAGTGCTCTTTAATATTTCTAGTTGTTACTTTAATCAAAAACTCTTAACAACTTAAAAAAATATGGAATATTGTGACCTTAAATATCAAATTCACTCTCAAAACTAGGTGACCCAAGAGTGCTGCTCCAAGGAACATGATGCTAAGTGTATATAATTTACTCATTACCCTTAATCTGCACAAGTCGACTGCTGAAGATATGCAGACCCCCAGTAATGCCCTTTTTGAGTCACATGCATCCATTGACTTCCATGTCTTAGCCCATTGTCACGTTATTTAGGCAGCACCACATTGAGCTCTCTTGTAAGAGGTTATAATATAAAAAGTTGAGTGGTTTTTCTTCTGTTATATCTTCATACAGTTTACCTCAGTTTAACAGTTTTTTATGTTTTTTTTTATTTTTTAATTGGAAGACCAACAGCTATCATAATTAGGATAGATAGTACTAATAACAACAGTAAGCCAATTAAAGGAATGGAATATGTTTCAAAACTAGTTTTATAAAAAAAAAACAAATAAAAATTCCTGAACTCCTCCTTCCCCTTTCCATTACTGGGCAACCAGGAGCTCCCCAGGCTACCCCTTCACTCATTGTTAATATACCGAATTCAAACTCATTAGAACCAAACTGTTTTCTTCGTCTTTTGTAATGCGTACAGCAAAGGAGTGGTATAATTTGCCAGCATCTTTCTTTCCGTCTGATTGCAACCTGGGTGTCCTCAAGGCAAGAGTGATCAGCTTATTGTTACGTTAAGACAGTGCGATTTACCATCTAGGGTTTCATTACCACTTACCATCAGGTAGGACTTTAGTACTGGCTTATATTACGGTTACTCTTAAAGCCTATTACATTCCACTGCTGGACATAGGCTTCCCTATTGATTGTCTCTTAGGGGTATGTTTAGGGTTGCCACCATTTTTTGAACAAATAAGTATAGTATTTTTCCCAAA